GCCCAGCATGGGCTCCTCCAACAGGCCTGGTCCTCCTCACAGAGGAAAGACCCTCAGTCCTCTCCAAACCAACAGACAGGACGTCCATCACACGGAGGTTTCTCCTGAAGTCTCTGCAGCTCTCTGGACACCACGCTCTCTCAATCTCAGGTTAATAGGCACATTCAAATTAGTGTTGTCACAATACCAACATTTTGGTTTCGATACCGATACCAAGTCAAGAATTGCGATTCCGATTCTTTTTCGATACTTTTCTTTTATTATTTTCATGATCAATAAAATTGTAGTTTATCTGTTAAGTGTTTTCTTACAACATGGTCTCTTCTTTATACTTGAGTTTATGTGATTTCTTTGATAGTTAACTTTATATTTTATTAACATGTAATAGTACAGTAATATAAATAATTATTGACAAAATGTACATTGCAGATGTTAGCCACATTGGTAAGTTAGCTAAAAAGATGGCCATAACTCATATAGTTATCATTGCCATTAATTGCCTCGTCAAACTACGAAAACGTTCGTTTGTCACAAAATAAATTACTCTTGTTTGACTTAGATTTGAGGGCATGGGCTTGAGCATGATGTAATTATGTTATATATCACATTCACTAACCTGTCTGTCTTTAAATTCTTTAACCTGTTCCACTCTGAGCCTGTTTTTCAGGTCTCAGGCTCGAAAATGACATTCCCAGAACAAATGACCATATCTTCCCTTCTAAAAGGGTTAAATTAATAATCTTTGTTCTCAAAGTAATGATAAACCTGTGAGTTGGATGTAGAAGTGTCAGAATCAATATAAATGTTTTTTATGTTAAAGAAAATTCAGATTTTACATAGTAAAAAACTGTAAATTATAGTGTCCGTCCAAAAATTATTTTTTACAGATAGTGAAAACTACCCTTGGATGATGGGTTAGTAGACTAAAAGCTTTAGGAATCCAAAGTACAACATATAATAAGTACCCTGTATCAAGATTGATGCAAAACAAGTGAAATTTGACCTTTTTAGAGAGATTTAGCCAAAAACCCCCACTTATGGGGTCATTTGGGTGGATTTGACCTATCTCTGGCCCCCCTTGGTCGATTTGGTTGGTTGACATACCCTTGTGACCGTTAGAGCCTATAGAGTGGCGAAGTCCCTCCCCTTCCGGTTGAGCCCCATGGGACCTTATTTCGGAAAAGTTATGCATTGAAGTCAATGGAGAGAGAAAGATTATCTTTCGATCCCGTTTGAATTGTGCCACGAATTACACATATGATGTTTGTCAATTTAAAAGATAATTTTGCAAGTCAAAAAAAAAAAAATGTGTCGTAAAACTGTGAAGTAACACATTTGTTTGTGTGAAACGCTAAATGAACTACATCTCTGGTCACCCACACACGTCACCAAGATGGCCGTCACTACTGTCTTGTCAACAAACGATTGACTATCACCACAATGAAACACGTCCTGAAGAATGTCATGCAAAGCTGCCTGCCTGCCTTCCTTTGATTCTCTCTGAACTGCCTGGTCGTTTTAATGTTTAATGTCAACCATTTGTGCAGATAGCATGAAGTAGAAAAGATCGCCGATGCTAACGTTAGCGTTAGCATTTCTCCCCCGGAATTAAATGGTGTATTATAGAATGATCACACCGGTGACAGTACTATTCAAAGGGTTCACGAAATATGACTACTACTCTTACTGTTTAACATTTTGGGTTACTTAATGTTACTTCATGTTAAGGCTAATAAAAATGACAAGGCTGTAATGCTAACTAACGTGCTAGCTACTAGCTAGGTAGCTAACTTGATCAAGCCACTCCTGGTCGTTTCATCAGACGGGAAGCAAAAGAACGAGCAAGACCCATTGCTGGTATAATAACAACCTGGTACTAAGCACACAGGCATCTTGTTAAAGTTATCTTATCTTAGCCAGCGCCATATAGATAGATTATATCTATATTGCGCTGATCTTAGGTATCTGAATGGTGGAGGTAAACAATTGTGACATCACTTACGCGACTCTGGGATTTGTAGTCTTTCTAGTTACGTATTTTTCATAGTCTTATATTTCAACAGTTTTACGACAAACTGTGACTTTTTTGACATGGAAATTATTTTTTAAGATTGACAAACATCATATGTGTAATTCATGGCACAATTCAAACGGGATCGAAAGATAAGTTTTCTCTCCCCATTGACTTCAATGCATAACTTTTCCGAAATAAGGTCCCATACCCCGGAAGTAAGTGGGAGGGACTTCGCCACTCTATAGAATCGAAGGGGGAGGCACACACCCACACACGTTGTAAAGAAAAAATGTGGGCGCTTCGCATGTGGAAAACGAAAGCAAAGTGGAGGAATGTCTCCTTCTGGAGTTTGGAAACTAAAACGCAGTTGTATTGCTTATGGATTATCAGAAATAATTTCAAAGAAGGCACAGACACATAGGATGAACCTATGGATTAACTGCAGCATCGTTTTTTTATCGTTTTAATGCCATTGAAGACCACTTTTGACCAAGGTAAGCCATATTTACGTTTTTTAGCTACTTAGCTCCACATGTGATGATGTACGCTTTCGTTTATAGCGTCGCGAATGTTTATCACTGAGTGTTGAGGTTTTTTACACAGATTCAGTGTCTCCAGGACACCAAAAACGAGTGGTTGGCTGTGCATCTAGGATAAGTAATAAGGGAGTTATGAGTGAGTTTAAGTGCCTTTGTAGGTTCCGTTTTTTCGATCGAGGCTAATTCAGAGGCTGAGTGCTAGCATTGTGGGGTTTTTTTGAAAAAAAAAATTAAAAAGATCAGTTAGCTGAGTTTCTTCCCGTTACATGGATATAACACATTCATAGTTTTATTCAATATTAAGATTCCTTAGACGTTGTTTCCTGCAAATGACGCGTTTATCCGCCCGGTACCGGGGGGATGGTGTGAAACAGGTTAAACAGCTCTGGATGCCGGTCGGCGAGGTGCTTAGCCAAGTTGGATGTGTTGGCTCCCTTGGTTTGCAGGGATCTAAAACATGTCTTACAGACAGGCCTCGTGGTGTCCGTAGGCTTGCCCTCACTGTCAGAGATATAGCTCAAATACTTCCAAATTTCGCTTCTGGCGTCTTTTTTGTCAACAAGCCGAGGCGCAGCGGCAGTTGCACTCCCACTTGCAGCCATGCTTCTCGTTTTCTCAGCTCGCGTGTGCATGAGAGAGGGGAGACACTTAGAGCGTGCTTGAGAGGGGAGGGAGTGGAAGCAGAGCGCTGAACACACACGGCTCTTATTAAAACAGCGCTTTCTCACCGAAGTACTTTCCCTCGTCATTCTTAAAGTACCGATACTAATGAAACGGAGGAATCGTAACGTTTTAACGGCAGGGTATCGCGGTACCTTTCAAGTATCGGTACACTGTGCAACACTAATTCAAATAAAGATTGGTCTTTAAATACATTTTGTCTTTTGAATTCTTTGTCTAAAGTCAAGGATCTAGAACTGGTACTTGTCGTTTTAATGATACAGTCTGGTTATAATGCTGTTTGGAGGAGGCCTCACAGGTAAGAGCACTAACTAGCTACCATCACATGTACCTTAGCTTAAATGTATTAAACGTATAATTAAGTGATGGCAAAATATAAATAACTAATGTCATGCAAACATATTAATATTTGCTTGATTCCAGTGCTGCATTTAGCACATTGCATACAAATGTCAAGGGATTTTAAGATTCTGAAGTATTATGCTAAAAACTCAATAACTTAGATTATTATTTATAGTTTTGCTGAATAGTTTAATGTTCGCTTACCTTAGAAACGTAAAATGCGACGGCAGTGTGCAGACGGGGAGCATGTTAGCTTAGCTTCTTAGCTTCAGCTAGCTCTGGAACTTCCAGCTCGGTGAGAAGGGTCTAGCTGCGGCCGCGGCCAGTACACAACACTACACGACACGCCCCCTACACGACACGCCCACCTGACACGACACTACGGTGGCTGAGAGACATTACCGTACATGGCAGATTAAAAGCGAATTGACGACAATGACGCTGACGCAAGGATATTTAAGGAGACATGAGGTTTACAGAGAACAGACAAACAATATGGCGCACCGAGTACAGGTAATTAACGTATTGTGGTTTTAGATATAATTACATACTATTTAGGTTCTCGTTTGTTTGTCGATGTGGCTGTTTAGCGCAGTGTAATTGTGTTTATTTTGCTAATTTGTATTTTAAATATTAAATGTAAAGGAATGGAATACATATATATATATATATATATATATATATATATATATATATATATATATATATATATATCTTAGCTCTTAGCTTGACATGCTCGACGTTCAGTTAGCATGTCAAGCTAAGAGCTAAGATATATGTATATATTTTAGCTTGACAGATGGAACAATGCATGTACTCGCATTTTTACAAGAATCTGATTTTGTGTAAGTTTTAAATATTCATTGAAGGTGTCTTTCACATTTGAATGTTTAAAAAAAAAAACATGTATTAGCTGCTATACTGACATGCACATATGTATAATTATATTATTATTTTAAGTGTGGTTTAAAGTTAAATGATATATAGTTATTGGGTAGAGCCAAGTAACCCAGGTGGATGCAATCAGGCCTCTGTTTTTAGATGGGGTTTGTGGCCATGCTGTAGGCCTGACATTTAAACCATAGACTGTATATATAAAGATTTAAACTAGCTGAAGGGCTTTCTGTTCGAACCACAGTGACATCTAGAGGTTGTTTTGTGCATAACATGTCAACCAAAAGGGTAGAGCTGGCTGAATCAGATGGAGTTAAACTTTTTTTTTTTTCAACAAGATATCAAGACACAAAATGTGCTCTACCAAATGGTGGCGCTGGCAGTTAAAGGGTTACCTTCTGAAAGTGAGGAAGTATGACCAGCTTTGTCCCATAGGATTATACAGGCCAGTCCATTGCTGCTTGTTTAAGGAGTTAACTATTTCCAATATTAAAGTCACTGAAATTGTATTCTATTTTATTCACCTATAGACAAACAACACAACACTCCGTGATGGAGCACGCCCAGAGCTCAACAAATTGGACTCGGACACCTTCCGTCCGGACACAGACGGAGAGAAGGTTCACAGATGAGGTGGCATTCGTCATGGATGTGCTTCTGCCAGAGGTTAGATTTCACTGACTTTTTATTTGTCGACTACACATTATATAAAATTACATATGTTGCACTTAAACTCATGGTCAATGTCCAGTAGAATGTTGATGCCAATTGGTCTGGCATAATTGTCACCTGCAGAATGGCACAACCTTTATTGGATGTCTACATTTTACTCTAACTGTTAAACGTGTGGCTTTAATCCCTTCATGACACAGGCGACAGTCCACGCCCTTGCAGCTGTACTCTCGGTTTCCCTTGAAAGAGCCAAGGAAACGTATAAATGTGGACCCGAGTATGACTGGAGGTAAGCTGGAAACATGAGGAGAATGCTAATACAATTTCCATTTAAAGTGTACAACCCCTGATGCATGTGAATTTATAATATTACATATATGACTTCTTTATACCATCTTGTCTTATCAGTGAGATGGAACTTTGTTCTCATTACCTCACCAAGAACATGAGTGAGGAAGCGCACCAAAAGCTGAAGGACTCCAGTGAAAGATTCTGAAGAGCTTTGGATTCCGAGGAGTTTTTAAATAGGCTTTAACCTCCTGCAGGTCAATCCTGGCTGCTTACATTTTTATTTAAAATCATGTTGATTTTACTGTTGGGATCAATTTAAAAGGTTATTTTTTTTTTTAAGCAGACCAGCTTGAATAGTGCCCCTCTGATTTTCCACATGATGTTCTGTTCAATAAATGTTCATTGAGGAAAACGGTATCAGTGTCTTATTGTATATTCATCACAGTGAATGCAGTGAATGCTGAACTTGCCGGACCATATAATGTAGTTGAAAGTACACAATGAAACACTGGCTTGCTTGTATCAAATCAATACAATTCCCACATGCCCTACCCCGGAACCTGCGGTCTTCAGACTCTGGCCCCCCGCACCAACCTGCGATCCTTCGGGGACAGAGCCTTCAGTATGGCAGCCCCCACTCTCTGGAACGCTCTCCCTGCGGAGATCTGCAACATCCCCACGCTTGACGCCTTCAAAAGGGCCCTCAAGTCTGCCAAGGTCTTTGGCCCCAAATCTATTTGTTTTGTCTGTCTAACTGTTCGTCTGACTGCCTTTTGTTATGTTTGTTTCTACTCCTGTTCTTTTTAAAGCGACCTTGGGTCTCATGAAAGGCGCTATATAAATCCAAGTTATTATTAATACATCATTGGAACGGTAAGAATCTCAGCTACAACACTGACTAAAGCCTTCCCATCTCCAGTATGCCTACATGACAAGCATTTTTATAATATGTGACCCGCTCTATCGAAATCAGTCGGATGTCGCAACGGCTCATTTCAAAATAAACGTGGATTTGCGTAAAAAACTATTTTTTCGGGGTTCGGGTGTTTTGTTTGATTTTAAATAAACAAAGTCTTGGCTTTCAGAATATGAAACTTTTATTTCCAAAATCACACGATAAATGCATTTGTGAAGCTTGTGAAGGGAAGATGACAGGCACCTCTCGCTCGCAATCTGCTCTTCCGTAGCGCAGCCCCCCCTCCCTCCGGCTGAAATTATGAATGTAAGGCATATAGTTATCTAGATAACACGGCGGGGTCCGTTACAGTTTGTTTTCATCTGATTTCAATTAAACAAAGTCTTGGCTTTCAGAATATTAAACTTGTTTCGGCAAATTTAGATGATAAATACAACTATGAAGCTTGTAACGGCATATTTACAAGCGGAGAACGGAGTCATTTAACGTCACAGCAAGCATAACAACAGCCGGTGTTTCTCAACACAATACACACAAACGCAAAAATACACAAACACACACACACACATACACACACACACTCGCGAGCTTCCCCCAGACCAGTAATCCAAACGGAAATATTTCCACTCCGGACTATTTTGATCATTTGCTCCGCTAATAATCAATCAGATCGATGGATTCCAGAGTAGAGGAAACTTTGAAGGCCTTTTTCTCAAAATGAGGACTCGGTGACAGTCATTATATAATGTGACATATTTTGCTTAATATTTGGAGTACAAAAACAATCTTGATATCATTAGAAAGCTAGGAATCTCCTCTTTCCAACAGTGTATACAACTCAAAATGTGTCTTCGGGTCAATGCGACTGATTTCGATAGAGCAGGTCACATATACAGTAAACATATCTTTGACTTATTGCAAAATTATAAAATGAAATTCACCCCTGCTGTTATTCTGGCTTTGACTGTTCAAATGAGATGTCAACTATCAAAATGGGATAAGGGGTTCCAGAAATATCACTGTGCAAAACACACCGGCCAATTTTGACCGATAATAGTATGGGAAGGGGGGTATGACCGAACGCAAGAGAAGAGACAATCATCAAGCCAGATACCAAGGTATTTACAACAGGCAACCACTTCAATTACTTTTCCTTTATGTTATTGTTATTTGGTTTTTATTAGTGCTTTTGTCGTTTTGAAGGAAATTAAAATACTGTATTGAGTTGGTTTCTTCTGTTTTGGAAGCCTTGTATATCTTTTTGGTCTTGTTAGAAATACCCCATGGTAAAACTGTGTTCTAGCAGCAGTTAAATAAGCTTAGTTTGCTGTCTTAGACTGCCAGATGTATTAAGATGGTTTGTTCACAATTTACACATAAAACCTAAATGTTCATCTGTTTATTGTTCTTCTTCCTTTATATTCAAAGCATGTTGATTGTCTATTGGCTATATCTTGACATTATGTTAATTTGATCATACTTGCCATACATTTATTTTAATTGATGCGATTCCTTCAAAGGTTTTGTAATAGTACTTTTAATTTATAAAGTAATAATAATACATGTGAATGATTGAGCTCATTAGTGGCCTGACTGGCCCTCCTAATTTGTTCCTTAATGACCCCATGATGTGATTATGTATATCTTAAAACCTTTAACAACTATATTTAGATGTTCACAAATATCTACATTTATGTATAAAATACATGTGTAGCAGTTAGACAAACATAATCAATAGATTATCTCATTAATACCTATTTTATATATTAAAAAAAAGTTTACTAAACCACCGTTTGTTGACAAAATGATTTGGGTTGAAAGTTATACTGTTGTGTCTCAAACGGATAGACTAGGTTATTAATTTATTTACCTAATAGTTGCTTAAAATGCTACAATAACATTTGCAATTCGTTTTTAATCTGCCATGTACGATCTCAATAATAATAATAAGTGTCGTCAATTCGCTTTTAATCTGCCATGTACGGTAATGTCTCTCAGCCACCGTAGTGTCGTGTCAGGTGGGCGTGTCGTGTAGGGGGCGTGTCGTGTAGTGTCGTGTACTGGCCGCGGCCGCAGCTAGACCATATTGAGCTCGGTGGCAGCAGGTCCCGCCTCGGCTCCGCCTCTTTGCCCTTATTTGGAGCAGGCGGGAGTTACGGAACGTCTACACAGCAGCGTTAAAAAAATCTTGAAACGCTTCTGCCCATTCACTTTGAATGGGGTGACGTCACTTTCCCTCACTTTTCGCCGAAATGCATTGTGGGCAGGCGAGCGGAGATTTTGAGGATTTTGAGGATTCAAAGTTGAACAATGTTCAACTTTTGAGGCTGAGGTGGAAGCGTCAGCCAATCAAATCCCGTGTACGCAAATCTGACAGTTCAAGCTCTAGCCAATCAAACGGCGTGTATGCTGGGAGAGACATACCGCAGGTCATTTCCTCATATTCCAAAAAATGGAGGAGAAATTAGCGGCAGCGAATCAATCACCCGGTGCTTTATGACCAGACCTACCGGGATATAAACCGGAGGAGCCAGGCATGGAGGGAGGTGGCAGAGACAGTGGTATGTTTTCGCCTGTTTTGGGGAGTTTATATCCAGTTTACTTCGGGATTTTTTGCTTCGTATGTCGCGGGCGGGAGATTCATGTGATTGGTTGTTCGCAAAAAATCCCCAAGCTTCAGATACGCCCACCTCCAAGATTTTTTTAATGCTGCTGTGTAGACGTACCGTTAGACTCTGACGTCACTGTTGAGCCGTTAGTGGCCGACTCCGCCTACTAAGGGCTTCTCGGCAACTCTGCAGAATCCTATGGGTGACGTCACGTACTGTTGGAGTAGAACACTTTTCTGGTGGCTGAATAGCCCCCCTCTCCGCGCCGTTCGTTGGATGAGGCTGGATCTCTATTAAATTAAGAAAGGAATTGAAAACACCGGAATCAAAGTTATAACAAATTATCTGAGTTTACTTCTAGTAGGAAACCAAACACATATACAAGTTATACAGAGTACTCGAGCACTCCGGGCTTTCAGGTTTGTGATGCGATGCAGATAAATGCGTCGGGACCCGCCAACTCATCAAACGAGATGAAAGTGACTTCAGGTTTGTGATGCGATGCGGACACAGTTATCGGGACCTGCCACTCACCAAACCAAAAAGCATTTTTACATGCAAAAGCATCAGTATTCATATCTATCTTTGGGGCGGAGATTTGTCGACTCTTCCTTCCCCTTTTCCTCCCAAGCGAATTAGAGAACCCCTGGGGAGGAGCTGTTTAAACTGCTCACCTCCCCCAAGTGTCCTGATTGGCTGGATTCACTTCTGGTCGAGGTCAATCAGAGTTCCGAACAGAGAGTGAGATCCTAAATTTCACCAGGTCAAAAGTCAACGTTTATCTCCACCTTATCTACACCACATTCCCTTCCCATGCGTTCTTCACCTATTTAACGATGTCTTTAACGACTTAAAAACAGCATCTGGCTTTTAGGGGTGATAAGGAGCGATGTTGGTGTGTGACACACAGAATCTCTAAGTCAGTGAGTTGTGATTACATAAAACAGTTCAAACGATACATGTTCACTAAAATACAATTCAAAATAATACATGTTTACTTCAATACAGTGTAGAATCATATCTTTTTACTTCAATCCCTCTTTTGATCTCACCTCACGAGATCAACATATAGCATTTGAAACATTACCACTGTCATTCTTTTTTTCTTACTGTGTCTGTCCCAACATTTATATAAACCCATCAGAAGTTGGGATATAGAGCACTTTAAACCTTTAGGAACAGTCCACAACAACAACTTATGACAGTGGACGGAGAATAAAATATGTCTAAAAAGCAAAGTCCTTGTCAGCTGAGTCATCTTTACTCTTCCCTCAATGGTGGAACTGATGAGTCTAACACACAATGAGCAGATACAAGGCACACAACAACAACAACCACATGTCACTAAAATGGCAATAAAAGTAGCCACAGAAATTAGAAAAGACATTATCATACTTTTCCCTCTTTTGGTAACACATAGTTCTGTAGAATAAAAAATACAAATCCCTTAAATTATGGGATATAAAAATAAAGTTGAAAGTTCCTCCAAAAAATGGATTGTTCAGACAAAGTTCCACACCGGCTATATCAACCTGTTTCAGCGGGAAATGGAGTTCCCTGTGCCGTCTTGGTTTGCCATGTCTTCGTCCCCCCAGCCCGCTGACGGCGGCTTCTGGGGTGCCTGCTAGAGAGATGTGGCCTGATTGTCCTCCCCCGGCCCGCTGATGGCGGCCTCCGGGTCGATGCTGGAGAGATGTCCCGATCCTCCTCCTCCGGTCCGCTGATGGCGGCTTCCGGGTCGACTGTTGGAGAGATGTCCTCCCGATCCTCCTCCTCTGGTCCGCTGATGGCGCCTCCTGGGTCGACTGCCTTGACGAGAGCCAGATCTGTTCTGATGTCGTCTAGGGTCCTCGCGACGAGGGCCAACTCTGTCCTGATGTCGTCTAGGGTCCTCGCAGGTGTTTTTCCCGACCGCACACTGGCTCCAGTGGT